AATGTGCTTGTGTTCTCCGCCAAATAACTTTAAACTAGATATTGGTTAAACATGAACCAAAGCCACAAAGATTCATCAAGTTTTGTGGACACTTATGTTTCAAAGAAAATTAAAAGCATTTCGACAGTTAACTAATAGGAGTTTTCATTGGATCAACAAAATAAAACAAAACAAACAAAAGAACAGTAACAGATCTGTATGGCTCAACTGATAGAGCTAAGGCTTTTGCAGAGTTCGCTGGTAGAAATGGTTCTATAACACATTTAACATTAGAATCAGTGTCTTGGGAGGCAACTATCTCATATACCAAGAATGAACCCTTAGGACATATTCAACAATAGAGGATGAGGCACCATGTTCCTACAGCATGAAGTCTACATCTTTATTATGACACTTGTCACATTTTCTATCATTAGTGTAGTTAATAACAGGTTTGTCTTTCTCTGTGATATCCTTGAGTACATAACAACGTTCGTATTCATTTACCCAATACTTAGCACACTATCAGGCATGTTTTGTATGTTCAGTAATTATTTGATCAATGAAAATAAATGGTCCATGACATTTTTAATTTCTTCTTAATATAACCTTTGAATGAAATAGGCAATAGATATGAAAGGTCATCCGAGTGTATGTGTCCGCTTTTTTTCACTTCATTTTTTATTGGGGCAAAAACCAGTCTGAATCTAAATAAGTCACATACAATAATCAACTTATCAGGTAATTAGTAAGAAGTTTAAGTTTTCACTTTTATTTGCCCTTGCAGACAGAGTCTGGGAGCATGGAGTATTTTCTGGTAACAAATGGGAATCTGGCCAACCAGTGATCTTTACATTAGCATTCTAATAACCAGAGGCCAACATGCAGTAGTGCTGTGTCAGAACTAATTTATGAAACTGGGTCCAAAGGCTCATTAAAGTGGTCACAATTCAGTGACTGCCCAGTAAAATTAGACTACAGTTTCATTCTCATAACAGTGAATATTTTAACATACTATTAAGGACATATTTCAAATGTTAACACTAGCTCTGATTCTGTGAGAGGGAAAACAACAAGATTTGAAAGATTTTGTACAAAATTGGCTCCACTCTCAGCTTTTGGCTGAAAATGCTTCAAATGTTCATATTTTAGAGCCCAGGGTGGGCTGTACTTGCACTTGCAAGTCTAGTGCATTTTTTTTTCCTCAGAATAAAAGCACTGCTGAGTAACTTCAGCAAACCACAGGGTTGTGAACCTACCTGGCCAGGAAATCTCAGGCAGCTCAGTTGGGAGCAGAATTTTCTTCTGTTGCTGCCAGACACAGTTTCCTACAGCATTCCTTTAATCATACTTCCTCCCCCATGATGCCAAAGCTCCTGGGTTTTTAGAGTGCATTGCTTTCCAGGCTCCTGTGCACAGCCAATCTGGGTTGGAGTGGCACTGCAGGTGTGGCATGCAAAATCTGGTCAAGAGCAAAGAGATGTAGGGGGGAAAGTTCTAAACTGTTGAGTCTGGTGCAGCTCCAGTTCAGGTCCACTGCTGACTCTCAGGCAGTCATCTCCCCGTGCTGGGGCAGGACATCCCCTCTCCTGCTGGCTCAAAGCTTGGCATGTGGACCATACTTAATAGTAAAGATGGATGTAATGAACTGAACTAATGATAGTAATATAAAAAGCTGTTTAATTTCTCAGTTTCTCAAACATCTCTACACATGAAGCGGGAATAATGATTCCTGCTCTGCTTATTTCACAGGGCTATGTTGCTGGTCTAAACTAATAATAACTACAAAAACACTTTTTAATGGTATGGTGCTTATACTTGGGTAATGTATGGTTATACCCATTCACTTGTCAAACGTAACAGACTGTTTTCTTTATCTCCTGAATTTTTATTCAATGGAACAATAATGAATCCCTAAATCTTCTAAATGTGAACAATAAAAGACTCTGAATGACTTTTCCTGGCAGTCTATATGCCATGGCTGAATTATTTAGACTTCTATTTAAGCCTGGGGAGGAAAAAAAAGACTCTAAGGATAAAGATTTTCCTTTTAATTAATTCCTTCAGAAAACTGTCTCTTTTAATTTTTTTCTACATTTAGAAGATACCATTGATAATTTGGATGCCCTGTTATATTATTGAGTTCTATATTACTTCCATATCAAGGTTAAATCTCTCTAAAAAATGACAAGTTGATAGGCATTGCTTACTAGTGGCAGAAGTAGGTAGCATGTGTCAGTATATTGTAGCAGCATAAATAATATGTAAGTTTAAAATATGCATTAACTTTTAATTCCAAATTGAATCCATGGCAAAGGAATAAATGTAAAATATTTTTCTAAATATGCTAACAGTATCTTATAAACCAGTGTTCTGGGAGAACTCTGATTTTCTGGGTGCTAATAGGTATGCCTTCCAAAAATATTCTTTATTCCCAAATATACAAGAATATTTGATTTAAACATGACTAGATATGTTTCCTCTTTTTTGCAAGGTTTTGTCTATTAGTATGCAGTGTAAATAGCCAATGTATAATATAGCATTTTCACTAAACTATTTTACCATGATAAATTTGCTTCACAACATGCCATCTTCCAACATACCATATTCAGATAAACGCCACCTTAAGAAATGTGTTAACAAAGTGTGTTTGGTTAGACTAACATGAGGTTATACCTTTGGCCTGTGTGAATTTAACTGACAATAGACTCATTGAGCAGATGTAGGATAAACAACACTGTCCAGGTGCTGAAGGGCATAAGAAGTTAAGTGAAATTGCTACTGCCTTTAGAAGTCCAAAGTCAAAGGGCACACTTAGTCAATAGTCAGTGCCATGGAGATGATGTGACCAAATAAAATAGGTGCAAAGATGGACAGTCACATCTATTTGAGTGTAGAATTGGAAGTATCTTCCCAAGAGTCAAAAGTGAGAAATAATAATACACTTACAAGGATTGGTCGGATAAGTATATTTACACATGCCAGCTGTCATTTCCGAGGCTGACACTGTGGAATAGTACCAGTCTCCATTTGCCTCATTTCATTTGTCTCAAGTCAGAAGAGGTTTAGCTCATTGACTTTTTTCGGTTCTGTAATTTTACAGTTATTTCTGTCACAGTATTGCTTATTTAGTTTTAAAATAAAGAAGAAAAGAAAATTAGCTAAATTTTTGAGAGCAGTTAATATATTTTTTAAATTAACTTACCATGAAAAGATAGAGTTAGTACCCCAACATTTTATACTTTTGCCTTTCATAGTTAGGCAATAGTAATTGATTTTTTTGGTATGGTGTAAGGTAGAGGCTCAATTTTATATTTGTGTTTGTGGGTAACCAATTGTTAGGGCATCATTTATTCAAAAGCCTATCTTTCCCTCATTGATAGGCTACGTCAGCTCCATGTACTTACATGTCAAATGTATGCATGTACAGTTTTGTCATACATATGTGTGTGTAAGTTTGGTGGCTCTCTATTCTGTTCCACTGGTCCCTTTCTATCTTTGTACCAATACTATAGTCTATAGTCTTATTTAGTACAGCTTTGAAATAAATCTTGATAAGGCAACTTTACCTAAACAAAGGCAACTTTATTTATTTTTTCCAGGAGTGTAATGGCTATGTTTGGCCCTTATTCTGTGATATAAATTTTAGAATCAATGTATCAGGCTTCGTGTATACACATAAAAAATACTTGAGGATTTTACTGGAATTGCATGGAATTCATAAATCAACTTGGGGAGAATTGACATATTTATTGTACAGACTTTTTCCAGTTTCTCTGTATTTATATAAAGTTACTGTAAAATCTTTCAATATAGTTTTATAATTTTCTCCATTAATGTCTTTCAAATTTTCTGATTTACTCCTCAGTACTTTATATTTTATGCTATATACATGATATATTTTAAACTATTAATATATTTGAAACATATGCATTGCTGCATAGAGATACAACTGAATTTTTTATATTATCTTTGCATCCAATAAACTTCCTAAAATCTTACTGATTGTAATAATCTGTGGATACTTTGGAATTTTTTTATGTAAACCTATGTGTCACCACCAATTAATAACAGTGTTATTTTTTTCTAAAATTATTTTCCTATCTTATGGTACTGACTAGGATATCTACTACAATGTTATATAGAGTTGGTTATAGCAGATGCCCTTTTAAAGTCCCTGATTTCAAAGCAAATGTGTCCAATGTCTCATATTAGGTTCGATGTTTGATATTAATTTTTTGGTAGATATTCTTTCTTAAGTAAGGAGGTTTTCTTCTCTTCCTAGTTGCTAAGGATTTTGTTACATATGGATGTTTATTAGATAATTATATGTTTCATATTTTTTAATCTGAGCAGAGATAGCATCCTGTCCCCTTTGACCCACAAAGATATAAAAACTAAAACCCAAGTTCTGACTTCAACAAATGTCTTCAAGGAACAAACCATGTTCAGTGATCTATTAATACTTCTGTTTGATTTTCTGTTTTCACTCCAATGTAGGATATTCTTTGAGCTGCTTATTTTCTTGGTAGTTTTATGTTTTATTTTTTTTTTAAAGAGGTACATTCATATTTTATCCAGAATTTCTGGCTGTTTTTGGTGGTGGATGGTTCAGTGTATTTAGTACACTGCAAGAAACAGAAGTCTTCCTTTTCTCTTCTGTCAAAGTGTAATAGTATCTCTCACTTTTTTCCAAAGCTTTTCTTAAAGTTTTACCTCTTTTAGATTTTCCTTTCTATCATCTTTTGGAAATTTTAACTTTATTCAAACTAGTTTTTTATTTCACTTTCCAAACTTTCTCCACGCAGCTTTCCAGTTTCTTTACAGTTTCACACATATCCTTAAGATTGAGATTGATCAATTGTATGCAAATATATTGTTTTGTCATGTACTTACACATCAACTTGTCTATCTCAGAGACTTGGTCTTATTTTTAGGCAAAGTATCTGCTCTCCTCCCCTTTTAACTAATATTTTACATAATATTTTCTTAATCAGTGCTATTTAATTTTATGCTTTCAGATATCAACATGGCAGGAGAACCCAAACCATACAGACCAAAACCTGGAAACAAGCGGCCCCTTTCTGCACTTTACAGGTAAGTAAATAAGCACTGTTTTACTATATGTAGTGGTGAAATTTCCTTACAGCTTTCTAAGATAATATAACCTGTAAGGAATCAGTTATTTTGAAATCTTTACTGCCATGAAGTACAACAAAATGTTGTTGCTCTAGATATAAATATATCATGCAGCGTTGGCAGGGATCTTGGAGACCTAATCTTATCATATCTGCTTATACAACCCTTCTACAAGGTATTTCTCTAATAAACTCTAATGAAAATCTCTAACGATTCTACCTGACAAATGGGTGGAAAGTCAATGGTAGTTGACTATTTACTGCATGCCATGCGCTGTAGGTGTTTTACATATGTTGTTTAATTTAATGTATGTCTCATAACAATTCTGCAATGTAGATATTCCTGTTCTCATCTCGCAGATCAAGAACTTGAGATGTAGTTTCTTAGTGATTTTTCTCAAGATCACACCACTAATAAATGATGTCACCAGTACTCAAACTCATGTCTTCTGCTGACACACCTGAAATTCTTTCCCCTCAATTACCTAGCCTCTTTTGTTACAAAGCACATGTTTCTCTCATGCCCACTTTTTTCCGAAACGGCAAATATATTCTTCCTTTCCTCAAGAGGGACAGATCTATTTCCTTTAACCTTTCCTAAAGTACTTGGGTCTGAGTCACTTAACATTCTGATCATTCCCACTACATGCCCCAATTTATCAGTGTTCATACCTGTTATATTATTCTGAACTGCAGGTGGACAGAGTAAACAAGATTTAGCACCTTTGTCATTCTGTATTTACGTCTATTAGGTTAAGTAAAATTTGGTTGATTTGGGGAAGAGCACAAGAATAAACTCATAGAACTTTCAGTTCTTTAAAAACAGCCACTTTTTAGAAAAAAATCGTGTTATGCTGTTAAACCATGTGTCCTATTTCAAGTACTTTTGCCATTGGTTTTTGTACCGTTACATGCTGACTTTGCATCTATCCCTGCTAAATTCCCTTCTGTTAAATACAGCCAATTGTTCCAGGCTATTGAGATCTCCTATTATCCAATTTATTTGGTCCTTCCTCAGATACAGATCATCGGCCCATCAGTATCCACATCCAAAGAGTTAACATAAGTGTTGAGCAAGCCTTCCTTCTTTACTGATACCATTTGGATAAAGGAGAATTAAGTTATGTATTTAAAATTGATTATGTTCCAATTAAGTATATTAAGAAGAGTGTTCAAAAGATAGCATGGAGCTCTTTCTGTGTCTTTGTTCTCTGAAAACGTAGCATATCACCTTTTTAACCCCCATAGCCTCATTTCCCAAACTATAACATATTAATGAAAGGGTTGGATTAAATCAAGGGGTTGGTTAAATCACTTCTAGAGTCCCATTTATGCCTAAAACCCCAGGCCTATCTATTGTATGGCCATCAGATATTTCTCTTATTTTTGGCTGTTTTAATTTTGGCTGTAATTTTGGCTGTTTTAATTTTACTAAAATATTTTATATAAAAATAGCAAGCAACAGAACATAACGAATGTTGATAATTGGTCACAGGGCAATATTGACATTAAAGAGCAAAGATGAAGTCATCAAGAAAAGGGAACTGACACTTTCTGTACCTTGTTTGTGGTAAAGGACAGGGTTTATAAAACTGAAAAATGCAAATTATGTTTCTATCAGATTCATTTTTAAATGTATACATAGAGCTTCAGCTAATGCAGAACATTTGAAAAGTCATTTTTTTCAATTATTAACAAAACAAGCTGGTAGTGGCTTTTTTTCTTATCAAAGAGTTGCTGCTGTCTGTGCACTGATGTTAATTTTCATATTTTCCCTGTTGTTGGATTGTTTTGATTTTCTTATGAGAATGGAAGCTCATGAAAGAAAAAAATTCTTTTTAACTGTTATTTCTCTATTTTAGTTGTATTCAATTGTGTTCAAAAGAATTAGAAGCAGAATTTTATTTAAATATGCTATATTATATATAAAATATAAAAAATTAGCCGGCATGGTGGCGCATGCCTGTAGTCCCAGCTACTCGGGAGGCTGAGCAGCAGGAGGATCTCTCGAGCCCAGGAGTTTGAGGTTGCTGTGAGCTAGGCTGACGCCACAGCACTCACTCTAGCCTGGACAACAAAGCGAGACTCTGTCTCAAAAAAAAAAAAAAAAAAAAAAGCCACTACTAGCTTGTTTTGTTAATAATTGAAAAAATGACTTTTCAAATGTTCTGCATTAGCTGAAGCTCTATGTATACATTTAAAAATGAATCTGATAAAAACATAATTTGCATTTTCAGTTTTATAAACCTGTCCTTTACCACAAACAGGTACAGAAAGTGTCAGTTCCCTTTTCTTGATGACTTCATCTTTGCTCTTTAATGTCAATATTGCCCTGTGACCAATTATCAACATTCGTTATGTTCTGTTGCTTGCTATTTTTACATAAATATTTTAGTAAAATTAAAACAGCCAAAATTACAGCCAAAATTAAAACAGCCAAAAATAAGAGACATATCTGATGGCCATACAATAGAGAGGCCTGGGGTTTTAGGCATAAATGGGACTCTAGAAGTGATTTAACCAACCCTTTGATTTAATCCAACCCTTTCATTAATATGTTATAGTTTGGGAAATGAGGGTATGGGGGTTAAAAAGGTGATATGCTACGTTTTCAGAGAACAAAGACACAGAAAAAGCTCCATGCTATCTTTTGAACACTCTTCTTAATATACTTAATTGGAACATAATCAATTTAAATACGTAACTTAATTCTCCTTTATCCAAATGGTATCAGTAAAGAAGGAAGGCTTGCTCAACACTTATGTTAACTCTTTGGATGTGGATACTGATGGGCCGATGATCTGTATCTGAGGAAGGACCAAATAAATTGGATAATAGGAGATCTCAATAGCCTGGAACAATTGGCTGTATTTAACAGAAGGGAATTTAGCAGGGATAGATGCAAAGTCAGCATGTAACGGTACAAAAACCAATGGCAAAAGTACTTGAAATAGGACACATGGTTTAACAGCATAACACGATTTTTTTCTAAAAAGTGGCTGTTTTTAAAGAACTGAAAGTTCTATGAGTTTATTCTTGTGCTCTCCCCAAATCAACAAATTTTACTTAACCTAATAGACGTAAATACAGAATGACAAAGGTGCTAAATCTTGTTTACTCTGTCCACCTGCAGTTCAGAATAATATAACAGGTATGAACACTGATAAATTGGGGCATGTAGTGGAATGATCAGAATGTTAAGTGACTCAGACCCAAGTACTTTAGGAAAGGTTAAAGGAAATAGATCTGTCCCTCTTGAGGAAAGGAAGAATATATTTGCCGTTTGGAAAAAGTGGGCATGAGAGAAACATGTGCTTTGTAACAAAAGAGGCTAGGTAATTGAGGGGAAAGAATTTCAGGTGTGTCAACAGAAGACATGAGTTTGAGTACTGGTGACATCATTTATTAGTGGTGTGATCTTGAGAAAAATCACTAAGAAACTACATCTCAAGTTCTTGATCTGCGAGATGAGAACAGGAATATCTACATTGCAGAATTGTTATGAGACATACATTAAATTAAACAACATATGTAAAACACCTACAGCGCATGGCATGCAGTAAATAGTCAACTACCATTGACTTTCACCCATTTGTCAGGTAGAATCGTTAGAGATTTTCATTAGAGTTTATTAGAGAAATACCTGTGTAGAAGGGTTGTATAAGCAGATATGATAAGATTAGGCCTCCAAGATCCCTGCCAATGCTGCATGATATATTTATATCTAGAGCAACAACATTTTGTTGTACTTCATGGCAGTAAAGATTTTTAATCAAAATAACTGATTCCTTACAGGTTATATTATCTTAGAAAGCTGTAAGGAAATTTCACCACCCATATAGTAAAACAGTGCTTATTTACTTACCTGTAAAGTGCAGAAAGGGGCGCTTGTTTCCAGGTTTTGGTCTGTATGGTTTGGGTTCTCCTGCCATGTTTGATATCTGAAAGCATAAAATTAAATAGCACTGATTAAGAAAATATTATGTAAATATTAGTTAAAAGGGGAGGGAGCAGATACTTTGCCTAAAAATAAGACAAGTCTCTGAGATAGACAAGTTGATGTGTAGTACATGACAAAACAATATACCTT